ATTGTAATTTATATAACATAAAAAGTACATTTGTATATATACAAAGTACAAATTTTCTTTTTTGACACGAGAAAAGTGAAATTTTTGCGATTTTTTTTTCGTCGTTCCATCATATCATTCACAATTTAATCATCAAATAATGTAAAAAATCAGTTTGGATTATTAAATTAAAGAAAGTCAAAGGGAAACTTACAATTTAATAATTATTCAAAGTATGAATTTGAATGATTTCGTAAAAATGAAGACCTTATATTTAGAAATCAAAAAAGATATTTTTTACATTAAAAATCTCATCTGATACATTTTTTATACCGATGATTAAGCCGACAGATATTCTTGCTTTGAAAAGATTTATGTGTCTACTAAAATGGATTATCAATTTGCTAAACACTTCGCGTGATATATAATGATCACATTATATCCAAAGTGGAATACACTTTTAATTGCTTATGCATTGCTTTTAACACGATTATATTCTATAACATTTGTGGTACAGGGTATAGTAGTGCGGTCGTATGTAACACATAAGGGGCTTAAGATGTGCCCACTTTTTATTATACCGATCGATTCAGAATCACACTGTCCGTCTTGTATCTATCCATGTAAACTTGCATTGAAAGTACAGGTCGCAATTTTTAAGATATTAAACACGCTCCCATGTAATGAGAAAAATGTATAATTTTCAATGCTTCACGATGAACAGTAAGTTAACATAAAAAAATTGACTGCGCCAAATTTTGATCATCTTGGCCTGTTTTTTGGATCCTGCTTGATAGAGATTTTCACCAAAATCAGAAAAAACTTAATTTTTAATATGTGATAACCGAACTTGACCCATAATACTATAGTTATCTCATACAAAATGAACTCTACTAAATTCAGGCCATCTACGTCTAATTTTGGATCCTGCTCTATGTAAGGATTAAATCTGTACTTCATTAGGTTTCGTTTTCGGCTCTCTTCCCCATAAATACCCATATGAAAATTGTACCTTTGTGTAGAATTTTTGTGTTCTTTTATAAAAATAAAAATGGTGTATTTAATGGTCGGCCTTTCCCGATTATAATGTTCTTACTTGTTTATTTTACATTTTTGATATGTGATAAAAGTTTGCATTTTATTTTATTTTATCCATTTATACATGAAATTCAACTAAAGAAAATTACAGTCGAATTCAGTACATCTTAAGAGACAATCTTGTGCTAATCGTTTTAAAGACTAGTATACAATAAAAAGGAAAATAAACAGAAGAATAATAATAACAGAGCAAGTTAAACGCAAATTAAAAAGTTAAAAGTAATAATTCATGAATAAATAAATAAAAAGAGGGTAAAAAAAAGAAAAAATAAAAAAAGCATATACACAGCTACCACAAAAGCACACCCGCATCAAGAAAAGATGCAGGTTGCAAGTGGACTCCGAAACCATTGCAAACATGCATAAGCTTAGCAACCAACACGTTAACAATACAATATATTATTTTAAATAAAAAGTGAGATATTAAGAATGAAAGCTTAGTTTAAGTACGACATAGGTAAATCGCGCATATTAAGCAAAGTTGCTTTAATAGACTTTAAAGAGTCCGATAATGAGAATAAGCGATAGACATGATTTAGGATTCTGCAGAAAACTCTGAGCGTGTTAAACCGCTCATAATTGTAATTATATCGACTGAGATTAATCAAGATAAAATACCTAGAGAAGCGGTTAGGGACATTAAAGCTTATCTCATCAAGTAATGCGGGCGAATCAACAGTACCATTTATTACTTTGATTAAAAAGGAAACCCCAAGAACAAATCTACCTTTCTCATGTGCCGGTAAGGATAATAGAAGCAATCTATTTTCATAGGGTGAAAGAAAGACAATAGGGTCCCAACACAAATTCTTAAGGGCAAACAGCAAGAATTGCTTTTGAACAGATTCAATACGATCTACATAGCATCTATATGAAGTAGGCCACACAACAGAGGCATACTCAAGTATGAGTCTAACCAAACATATGTACAGACTTTTCGTAATATAAGGATTATCAAGCTCTTGGACCACGTGCCCAAGTTCAGCTTCCGAATGTCGATGGCCAAGCACCACTGAAAGCCCATTGTATTAAAATCATTCAAAACGATTATTGCTACTGTGTTTTAGAATTAAGATCAGATTATGTGTATTGATATCTTACACACACACACGTGACCAACGCACTTAAACAAAAGCACTTATAAAATATGGAAACATAAGATCACTCGGTCACTGCAAATGCACATGTCATTTAATGAATTCTATTTATTCCTATTTACTATTAAAAACTGAGTGCTTATTAATTGCGGGTTACATATAACTGAATCTCCTCTGCTCTTACCAAATCCTTTTAAAAAGCACAAAATTTCCAATTAATTTGATATTAAAACTATCATTTTAATGGAAAAAAATTTTCATAAAAAAAAGTTAAAAAGTCGCAAAATATGTGTGGCCCCGGTTACTCTTGTCACAATAACTGTGCCGTTTACATTCTGCTTTTTAGTATATTACAATCTGTCTTTTATTCTAAAAGTCCTTTTATTTGATATCTATATCGAGCGAGTTGAAAAGAAAAAATTAATCTACAACGTCGTTGCATCCGCCATATTTAATTTGGAATTGACCTGGTTGGCCATTAATTTGGAATTGACCTGGACGTCGCATTTCTCAGTGGTGGATATAATAAACGAATGTAGCATATTTTTACAACATATAAGGCACAGTGTGTATCAGTAGTTGAATGAGAGATTTTCCTGTTTTATAGTAACATTTCAAACTTGTATAACCCTTGAAATGTTTGTCATTTTTCGAACTGCTCTCAGAAGGCTTACGAAAATCTGAAGCCCGTCTTGAGAGGCATCCAATTAAACCAATAAACGCCTGATCCTATACACTTTTGATGAAAATACTTGTAAATTTTAGAAGTTACTGTCTTTTCATAATTTTAGGCATGCTCCCCGTGCGATTTACAGAATTCAATCCAGTGTTTAACGAACAAGTTTTATTCTTTTCACTTAATTCGCTACATTTTAGCTAACCCGCCCACAGCATGAATTCTATGCAATTATAGCAGAAAGCAGTGTGGTGGGTGAAAAAAAAATACTTTGTCATGATTTTTACTTTGAGAAATTAAAGTTTTAAATTAATAAGAAACGAACCGGCCGACATAATCACAATTCGAATAAATAAAAGCAAACCGCGACTGCGTAAGCAGTTCAGTTTTCCTAGTGTTAAAGACAATCGTAGAATTAATTAAAAAACCCTCTTATTTTGAATGTCTTTTTTCGTTTTTGCGCTATTATGGATATATAAAATTAATGCTAACCAAATTTGAAAATGTGATAAGAGCGACAAAATTAAAAGAATAGCAAAACACGATCCCATTCCACTATTCACCCAGAAATTTCGCATTCTTTCCCTTATTTCAAGTGAAATCGCAAAATGATAATAATGGTATGGCAATTGTAACTAATTTCAATGTTAGAATTACACGTATATAGATATGAACGAATATACTAAAAACCAAAAACAATAACACTGCAGTGCTAAATTTTTTTAATGAATACACACGGACGTCCTTTATTTGTGTGTTGTTGTCCTACGTTAAAAACTGTTTAATTATTTTTGTTGTAATAATGTCGAATATAGAATATAGTAGTAAATGAGAAAGTTATTTACGCCTAGGGGGGTGAGTTTTTAAGGTATATCTCACGAAATATTTTATGAACTGTTGTCATATTAATGGGCCAATCGGAACAAGTTTTACGTTCGTCTTTTCAGATGCTCCTAATAATTATCATTACCAAGTTTTAGATCAATGTCTGCCGCAACCGAAGGTTAAATTCTTTTTGCGATTGAGTATTCTCCACTTTGCGTAGCGTTCAATTTCAGAACACCCATGTGAATTATGGCAAGCAAGAGTGCTCGCACTATATACGATATGTAAATGAGCCAACTAGTAGCCATGATTGAATGATTCACAATATTTAATATATCAATATTGCTGCAGAGAAGATGAGAGAAAGGGGAAAACTATTATGCCCCAACAATTTGCATAAAAATCGTTAAACATAATATGAAAAGGAGAAACTTTGTCAGTTTAGGTAACGCATAGAGTGGATTATCTAATTTAACGGGGACAGGAATATCTAAACCCCTCCCCTCTAAGGTTAATGTTAGCAACCAATTTGACTGTTATCTTTTTGTCTCACAGCGGTTGTGATAAGGGGTTTGTGCAAATCTATTCAAAGCCCAGAAAGACTTAAGATGCAGCCATAATTTATTTTATCAATAGAGGTTAACAATTTCGACAAATTAGCTGAACGTAGCAAGTCTTGGTCCAAGGATAAAACCAATCGGAGATGGATTGGATGGAACAATTCTTACAATCCCTCGCTACATAAGAACGTATTCAGAGAGTGACATTATATAAAAAAATTTGCATTTTAAAAATTGTTAAAAAACTCGATAGGTATTAGTATTTCGGGATGCATAATTGTAGAGCACTTTTTTAAAATGCTTTAAAAAAATAAGCATTAGTAATAGAATTAGCATTACTCATGTGGGAAGAAGAATTTATTTTTAGTAATTGATTCAAAAATAATGATTTGGCTTATAGTTTCACTACGCTAATATGGATCATAGTTCTATTTTTCGATCTTCTTCCTTTATATAGCTTCTAAAAAAAAAAAAAAAAAACCTTGTTATGAAAACCATATGGAATTTTTTATATTTTATAACGAAAATATCGCAAGTAAAAAAAATGCGTTAAGTGAAATACAAGAGTATGTTATTTAATGGGATTTCCCTAATGATATTTCTTAATTTGTTTGATTTTTGTTTATAGAACCCGAAGAATTGCTATAAACGGGCCGAACAAGTAGAACATCTTTTTGTACCGTTCGCCTTTTCCCACTCAAAAATCAATTGTTAATAACTGTGCATTTTCTAACGTGTTCTTATGTTTTTTATCAACTATTCCAGGCTTGGCCCATGTGATCTATTACCAGACCAGTGGGCTACTTCATCGTCATCTACGTCAACAATTACCAAGAACAGCGGCAATCAAACAAGCGTTTCGACAAACGCAAGTTTTTTATCACCGTCTCCTACGGCGGCAAATAATTTATCAGCCATTACAATTACAAATAAAAACAACACTGCCTTTAGAACAACGGCAACAACAATTTGCAATCTGCCGCGTTTTTCACCGGCCGCGGCTACAGCTGCTGTTTCAGTTAACAACGCTGGCAATAGTGCAGCAGTAGTAGGCTTAAATTCGAGTACTGCCGGTGTTGTTCCGCTCTCAAATGATGAAGATGGAAATAGCGCAGGGGCTAACGCTAATGCCAACAACAATAATAATTCTGTAATCGATGCTGATAGTGTTGCTACCACAACCGCTAATAACTCATTGCTAGCCAGATTTTCTCAGAAATTTTGTAATACGTTGCCACCTCATTTAATAGAACATCAACATCATCAACAACTGCAGCGAAGACCGTCTTCAGCTGCCGAACTAGCTGCCGCTTTACAACGTTACAGCATTATGAGCGCGGTGGCCTCACCGATCTCTGCCAATCCAACGACGTCCACAAATCGTAAAATACGAAAAAAAACCGACTCGAAGACAAATTTGGTAAAAAAATTATCCCCTCCCAACTTGCTCATTATATCTCGCTAAACAATAAACATTTTGGCAGTTATTGTATAAACTTATTATTTATAATCGAATTGTCTAAAGAGATGCTTATAATCAAAATTAAAAAATTTTTCGGAAAACCTTACCTTTCCCAGCGCCCGAAATTTAAGTTTTGAGCAAATCAAAATTATATGAATTGAGTTTCGCCAAACTTTAAATCTAATGTCGCGTTTAAATTGATTGATTCAGAATTTTCATTCAATGTTTTCACTGGAAGCCACAAGTGTTTTCGCATTTTGGGACAATAAGTGTCTTATTATGAAGATAATTTTACTCATTTATATAATTTGGAAGCGTATTACAAAGCGAATTACCAGCAATTGCAAGAAAATTTAACAAATGGATCAAAAGTGTACATAAACATATAATCAGAATATATATCACATAGCTTTTCGAAAAGAAAAGCGTACAATTTTCAATGATGCCATACCGACAGGTAATGTGACAAACACAAAAAAGAACTTAAATTTAAGTTTTGCGTGTAATTTCACCGAAACTTTGGTCTATGATATCCTATTTTGACATTTCATTGCATTACATTGTTTTCAGTTGAAAAAAGCACTGAACACGGATTTTAATGTAAGCGCCATGTTAGTTGTATAGATATTCGGATGCAATTAACAAATCCAAAATGCAAAAAAATGTGAATTTTCCGCCACTGACAATTCGACTAAAAACAAAGAATGAGGATACGAAAATGACATATATTCTAACGCACTTCAAAGTCTTAGATGTAGTTATATATTAGAAACCGTTTTTGTTACTTCTAAAAGCAATTACGTTGAGCAACAAACTCGATCTGCAACAAAGAGCTGCCTTTACTCGTAACTCCTTATAGAGTATATATGAATCAGCATATCAAAGCAATTGTTTTGGCTGCTTTTTTATCCACATAACTTATAATGTCATGTAAATTGAACAGATCATAAAGTTGTATATTATACTGTTGAAATACTGGCATAGTTCTCCCCCTACATTTTCGATTTAACTAAATAAATAATTTTATTAACAATTTTTAGCCACAATCTCAAATTAATAAATGCAACAATGAGAAAAGACGTCGAGAATTGGAAAATAATTACATCGAACAACTGTCAGAGTTTCTACAACTTAATAAGCGTAGTGATATGACTTCAACTAAACCGGATAAAGCCGCAATTTTAAGTCAAGTTGTCAAAACGGTAAGTGAGTCACATAAGAGCACATTTTTTTGTTATTCCAGCGTTCATATGTACACTTCCCACCACTAAAACAAATAACAAATAAATAAAACGATGTCAATTGGTTTAAATATACACGCTTTTAAGACTATCTCAGTAAGGAAAATGGAAAAAATGACAGAAGGTAGGAATCCGTAAACTTCAGAATAAAGGAGTTAAAGAAAAAAAAACGAAAAACTTCAATATCACGCAAATGGATTGAAATATTGATTTGAAATATTTACCAAAGCAACACAAAACATTGCAATCATTAAATAAGCCATCATTGAGACCCCATTTGAAATTAAGAAAAAAAAAAATTTGGCCATGTATATTACTCATGTGTTTGTTTTCATATTTCGCGATTACAAAATATTCACTACAACGGATATTAAAATTTGCTTCTGAATTTCAAATGCGGTCTCAATGATGGCTTATTTAATATGACTAGATCGGAAGATCTCGAGAGAGAAATGAGGAAAGAGAAAGGGCTAAAGAACGTACTGGCCGCAGTTTAGTGAGTGGGTGCCCAATCGTTAGGCGTTATGTTTTAACCGACCGAGCAGTCATTACAAACTGCGTGCAAAGAAGACTCGACCTTACATGACATTTGAACTTGCGGACACAGTACAGAAAGACCCATATTGATAGGATATATCCTTCGTCATCATGAATAGCCATGACCTATCCATGCCCATAACTGTTGAAAGTGAAATTGTTCATAAATATATTTTTACTCTCTCATTAAGTTGAACACAACAATTAGCAATACCAATTAATCGACATGTCCGCAATTATCAAAGGCACGCATATTTTTTCCTTTTTTATAGCGTCCAAGATTTTAAAGTTCATCTTACGTTTTTTTCCCAAAATTTTTTTGCCGAATTTGAAAATTAGTTAGATCTACCTAAGGCTACGTAAATAAAACAAGATAAATAATGCACTTTAAAAATTATGCTTTGCTTAGAGTGGGAACTTAAATGTCATCTGTTAATTGATACAAAAATCTTGCACACTACAATATATTACATTAGTACGACAATGCTTGTATATTCATGCATACGCATACGCCGTCATCAACTACATAATATAATAACTATGAGGTGATGAAGATTTTTCTCGTTACAACAGGAGTTTATTGAAACTGATATAAAAAATTTCCGTCCAACCCTTCTTATTATCTGAACAATTTAATTAACTTTGACTGAAGGTAATTCAATCTCGAAGTATTACCGGCTTTGCTCTTATTTGCTTATTTACGCTTCTATTTTACACAACAAATTTAATTATTTTGGTAAGGAAACCGATATTTCTATTAATTCCCAATGATAATCAATTTGTTTTTTAATTATATCGTAAAAATCAAAGATTAAGTTTCATTTCCCTGGGAAGGGATAAAGCAGTCGCTTTATTATCAGCTTTATTGAATTAGTGGAGAATAATTTAAATAAATTAGCCAATAAGGAATAGAGTTAACGTCGATGGCAAATATTCTGGCCGCAAAAATGAAACTGTCGGCTTCAAATTTTGCAAAAAGATTGGAACTTCTTGCAGGCAGGTTGGTGTTGGAATTGAGCCAAAGGGCTACCACTAAACGAAAACAAAAGAAACAGAACAATGTGGGATTTTTCTCGTTACTTATAAACCAGAACCAACACAACAATAAAAATCGGAATTTATAATCTATCTGTACAATATTGAAATAATCCACCGAACCTACTTAATATTTTAGAATATTGAATTTATCATTCTTTTTTGAAGCCCAGGAAAAATGTTCAATGACTTTATAAAGACTACATATTATGGATTAGTCTGTCCTATCTGTCTAAGCTATCGGCCTCAAATTCGGCAAAAACGTTGGAAGTGTTTGCACCCGGTTTGGTGTTGAAAACGAGGCAATTTGATAAAAGGCCATGCCCAAAGTAGAATGCACATTGAGCACATCGCGGCTTACAACAGGAAGATGATATAAATTTCCATTTCCATTTTAATTCTATAAAAATAGAAAAAATCAGCCGCTTCCGCCTAATGTTATAAAGTATGTTAGTTTCTTCCTTTTTGTTTGCCATTTTTAAGATAATGGTGACTTAGGTACAAAAGATTCGGCCGCACCTGAATATAAGTTTCTTAATCCTTGTATTCAATTCGATCACTATCTTTTTGGAGCTCTAAAAGCTATTTCTGAAAATTCAAACTTCGATTGATGAGTGAATCTTGGTATTCGCATAGTATGAATAAAAGTTTTCTTTAGCAATTTTTTATCATTTTGAAAAATGAGTCCTAATGAATAAACACAGTCTGGAGAGTTTGCGAATTCTTAGCGTAGTAGCACAAAATTTTTTACCTGAAAAAGAATTGGGATAGATTGTAATATGGATCAAAACGAATTAATAGTCGTGTTTACTATGCTCTCAGTATTGTCAGCGCTGTATTCCAAATTGTCACTGTATATTGCCCCGTTCTTCGACAAGCTTTTGGCATATCTCTCCAGTGTAGAACAACAAGTTTCCTTGACCTATTTCCAAATTGCATTATCACTTTTAAGCGGCTGTTTGCCCAAACTTTGCTTTTGAGGAGGCTGAAAACGAAGATTGGAAAATTGCACTGATCCTGTAGATTTTCTATAAGTTTAATAAATCCTTGCATTTCGTTTACTACTTAAATTTTCATTTACAGCCCCTGCCGAATAAAAAAAAATATTTTTCATATTATTTTGTTCTTTTCTTTGCGTATTTCGATTGCGATAAATGCTAAGTTTTAGCTTTCAATCTCAAATTTTGCCATAACATGCAATACAAACAAGCAAGCAAAATTGACGGAGCGGATGACATAGTTAAATAACAGAGATCAACAATGCATACCAATCCACAATACGGCTCCCTTCTACGATAACAGTATATTTGACACTAATTTTTTTAGGTATGTAATATTTTTACGCTCATCATTAAAGTATACGCCCAGTATACTCATTTTGCCGTAACAATTGCACCACCCAAAAAAGAAGGATCAGGGAATCTACAGGTGCATGTATTTTTGATCAGTGTCTATTCTGAGTCGATTTACCTATGTTTGTTCGCCTTTGTGGTTGACTGTTGTTGGCGCTCGCAAAAATTAAAATGTCAACTTTAAATTTGGCAGAAGCATTGAAAGTTCTTGTATGCATTTTGGCTTTGAAAATGGATCAAATATCTTAAAGAACACGCCCATAGTAGATAGTGAAATTAAATCAAATTTTCTAAATTTATTTTACTGAGCGCCGTACTATCCATGTTGAATCAAATCATAATGTATCATCATCATATTGTATCATAAAATGAATGGTGGTGGATGTACAAGATTCTGTACCAGCCAATTATTACTGGCTTAGTGAGTTTTTCTTAATCATTGAGAACACAAAAATTACATAACTTAATATTTGATCAAGAATGGATCTGATGATCTGGTGATTTGTTATTCTGTTATCCCTTTCACTAAATAAGAGGCCATTTTTCTCAAAAATATTCGCGCAAGAAATTTTAAAAATTTCAATTTATCTTCAATTTCTATTTCAAGAATTTACAACGCTGTAATAAAAATACATGTGATTTTTCCTTCAATTTTTCTACTTGTTTACAGCAACTTCTCCTTTTCATTTATTTTTTCAAGGTCGGTCATTAACCTTACGCAAAACTAGCCTGCATGACGTCGTTCTACAACTTTTTGTTAAATTTTTTGTTTTTCATGTTCCTGTAACTGGTCCGCTTAAGCCATTTCATTTTCCTTTTATATCTTTCTAATGTTTATGCATGAACATTACTTTTGAACGAAAAAAATTCAGCTGTTGTTATTTCATTTATGATAGCAACCAGTTCCTATTGGATAACTTAAAAGATAAAAGCGTTAAAAGAAGTAGGCTGCTTTTGGTTACAGTACATTTTTCTGGCTTTTGCTTTTTTCATTATATTGTTTTGCAGAAGTCCCTTGACGTTCCTGTTTGAAGAGTAGTGATGATAGACGAATTATATTTGCATTATTCTCCGTAATAAATTTGATAAAAATATCTAAATGAATGGAAGCAAATGGGCGTTCTTTCGGTGAGCGTAAGCTTCAAGGTTAAACCGTGCATTATTTAAGTTCTCATTAGCCAAGCCCTTTATCCAAAAGCTGCATTTTCTGATATTTGGTTTAGCAGATTGGATTTTGTGGGTAGAAGTAAAATGATGCACGTTTTTAGAAAGATTTCGACTATTTTTATTGATCTAACAGTAAGTGCGTGATGTCTGTAACATGCATTTGTCATTTGTTGTTCTCCAATTGTATTTTTCGTTAGCATATAGTTGATGCTGATTTTTTTCAATTCGCTCATCTGTGCGGGGAAGATCCCCGACACGGATTGTTAAGTAGTATAGTGGGTAAGGTATCCAATTAATGTTTTTTTCGAATTAAGTGTACCTCTGAGATTTTGTGGTGGATGTGAAAATAAAAAATAAACTCACGAATACTCTTCATACTGGTTTCCTGCTTTTTTTACTTTTAAGTGCATAAAATGACGTACGTATATTTCTCTGCTCTCCATGCATAAGTGTTTACATTTAAATTAGTTTGGTTAAGAGTAATACTTGTTCGAATTGTTATCGTTTTTCCATCGCTCGCTCATCAGCTCTTTTCACCATGACATGTGATAAGAATATAATTCATTACAAAGACAAATCGCTACGTGTTGTCGGACTACAAACACTGTTTAGTGTATTTTTTTTTTATTTTCTTTTCAACTTTTAGTTTTTATTATCTTTATTATGGTTTCTTATTGGGAGTTTTCTCTGTTTGTACTTTTATCATCTGTGTTACGATTTTTTAATGGTTGACTTGTGTTTGTGCGCAGGCACACATATAGACTGTTCTGTCGTCTATCATATTAGTTATTACTTTTATTTATTTATTTTCATTTTTAACCTAGAGCTGTGGGCTTTTTGTACTTAGTGTTTTGTGCCTTCCGCGGAGTACCTTATTACCTGTTATTAGTTTTATGGTTTTAATTATGTGAAAGTGAAAATTTTGTTCAAAGGCATATGCAATTTTCATTCGGTTTTAAGAAATTTTATATAATTGTTATTCTTGTATTCGGCACAAAGTTTCTAATCATTTTAATTGTGTTCATCACTCATTCTCTCTATTCAAATTGTAATGGTTTTCACAAAATATCGGCCAAAAATGGTCAAAGCACACACAACCGGCCTGCAGGCAAAAGTTTATATGATAGGATCGGATCTTTAGAGAGATACAGTGGGGTAAATTATACCTGTAAAACTTTTAATCATTCGTCGTCTCCAAATCAAAAGTATACTTTGATTTCTTTGATTTTTCTATTTCTAGTACCGTGATATTTGTGACAAAGGCCAAAGTCGTGATATTTCCTCGTCAACGTCAGCTTCGTCATCATCGTCGACAACATCATCCGTGTCGCTATCATCGGCCGCTAACACCTCGTTGTCAAATTCCAATTTAACGATAGCGAAAACTAATTTGCATAATAATAGCAACCAAACAACCTCAACAACAACACCAACTCCTTGCAGTCGTTGTGCTACCGATACTTGTTCGACACATCCGGTACAACAGGGTGAAGTCTCATCCACTGAACCGCCACTGCCTGAACCATCACTGCTCAATGGTCAAGAACCAGAAATTTCAGCATATTTTGAAGCCTTAGAACATTATATATCGTCCGTAGGTTGGGTGCTATTGCAGATAAATTCCGACGGCATTGTGGAGTCGTGCACTCAAAACATTCGTGAATTGATTGGCTATGAAAAACACGAGCTGTATCATAAGCCACTCCATATGTACCTGTATCCAGGAGATCAAGCCAAATTAGATCCTGTCATAAGTAATATGGCGGCAACATATGTGGGAGGGGGTGGTGGTAATGGCAATGGTAGTAGCAGTGATATTGGTATTGGTTTGTCAGGTTGGGTTGATGGCAATGAAGATCATAATTCACAGCAATCTTTGGGCAAACAAAAACGCAGCATTTCGACCAAAGTGCGAATGCTAGTCAAAGATATGCGTTCCGCTACCCAAACGTCAGGTTCATCAAATCCAAATGATTCCACGGATCAAAAGTCAACAAGCCATTTATCCCAACAAGAGAAATACGAAGAAGTTGTGCTAATAGCAGCTCCCGTGAAGGGTAGGTATAATTAAATTGTCACGTTCTTCCCTACCTTGTTTATAGGTTATAACTTCTTTTTCTTTATTTTTAATAGACGATGGCGATTCGACTTCTTCGGTTTTATGTTTAATAACACGGCCCGAAGATGATTCACCGCTAGAAATGAACGTACAGCAGCAAGTACAACATCAGCCTGTGGAGCAGATGACTTTTAAATTAGATGTTCATGGTAAAATCTTGAATCTCGATGCGACTGCCTTACGAGACTCTTACAAACAGCATATGAGTCAATGGGTAGGACGCCTGTTACAAGACATATGTCATCCTCAAGACTTATGTGCTCTAAAAACGCACTTACGGGACGTGCAAGACTCAGCGGCTGCTATAAATGCTATTAATGCTTCTCATTCACCCAGCAGCGGTGTTGGTATCAATCCTCCCATATCCAATGTTATATCGAAACCATTTCGTCTTCGTCTAGGGACGCCAGATGTCTATGTTCACGTCAAGGCCAACTCCAGACTTTTTTTGTGCCGTACACCAGGTGAAAACGATTTCATAATGTCCGTACAGACACTGTTAAATGCCGAAAATGAGGGAAACAATATCAGCACGGGAACGGGCACTGGTAACATTATATCATCTGGCATGGCTGCGCTATCTCCAGGTTCTTCTTTGGTATCATCCCTTGTTTCCAATCTTTCAATGGATTCCTTAACTAATAACAACTCAGTCTCATCACCCTTAGTTAGCGTTTCCAGTAGTCATATTTTAGGTGGTTTAGTTGGCGGTGGAGGCTTGCCTACCCATTCTACCCAGACTACAAATGTTGGAGGTCCATTAATGACGTCAGCTGTTATAAATGGAACTGGAGGGGGCGGCGGAAACAGTGGAGTAAGCGGTTCACAGAGATCACTTTCCAACACCAACGTCACATCGGGAATGGCGTCGAACAATGGCTCATTGGTTAACTCATTTACAGCTTCGCCGGCTGGCCACGAGGGTCCTTCGTTTTATAGTAATGAGTTCGATTTTGACTTGCCACATTCCTCTTTTGAAATTGATCCTTCAGTCTCCGGATGGAATGACTCCCGGCCAAATTCAAGGGCATCGGTAACCACACCAGTTAGTACGCCGCGACCTCCTTCCACGGGTCACGGCTTTAGTCCTGCTGTTTGCCCTTCACCGTCGACCCCTTATCAATTATCATCGCATTCAGCTGCTAGTCTACCATCACCACAATCAAATACCAGTCAATCAGCTGGGGGATCCTACGGCTTTGGTTTTCCCTCATTTGATGGCTCAACCGATAAAATCGACAAAGATCATGGAAACAATAACAACATCAGCAACAACAACATGAATAACAATATGATGGTAGGCAACCCTGGCAGTAATAATCCTCTATTAATAGCTGCCATGAGTGGAGTAGGAAACAATGTCGGCGGTACGCAACATTCGCAGCAACAACATCAGCTTCAGCAGCAACAGCAGCAGCAACGTACACCGCCGCATCCACCGCCCCCTACAGAATCGGAACGCTTACGCCATTTGCTAACTAATAAGTCCCATTCAACTTCGTCCTCTTTATTGCATTCTTCGGATGCCGACGAAAGAGATAATATACTGAAATATTATAAGCAAATAAATTCAGAAGAAGACAAGGAAAGTATGGGCGGCTCCAACAACGTGTTTAAGATGAATTCTGGTATGCCAGGGTCTGGAGGATTTACAGGGTCTCGAATGTTCGGAGGCGGCTTGCAAAAAGCTGCAAATTCCAGTAATCCTATGTTGTTGTCTTTGCTCAAATCCGAAGATGATGAGAATGGTAAGGGATCTTCAGGTATGGGACGAACGAGTGATCTAATGAATATCAAAGACGAAGCGCATGGTAGTCACGGCCCTCATGGTCACAACAATCCCAACAATATGTCACCTGAGGACTTGAGACGAATGCTTAAAATACAAAATGATCCTGCTATGACGCGAAAACGATTATTGAATGATCCCGACGATGGCATAGCGGCTAAACGTTCTGATGATCGTCCCTCTAAACTTTGCGAAAATAATAAAATGCTTGCGTCCCTGTTAAAAAATCCGCCAAAGAATATAACCATTAATACACCGCCCATAGTAAAAACAATTCCTGATATAACACCATCTTTAGCAGCACGAGCAAACGCCGCCATGGGCGGTGCGACATCCAATAGTATAAGTGGCTTAAATAGCAAGTCATCTAGTACCACCACCCAAGCCGGTAGCAGCCACGGTGGTCGAGGGCGAGGCCACAAGCAGTCACAACAGCAGCAACAAACTTCTGATTCCTACCTCACACAACAACAACACCAGCAGCAACAACAACAAGGTCTTGATGCTGTTGTGGGTATGGGTACGAAATTACAACGACCAGCGCAACCTCATCAGATGACGTCATCAATGGGTTTTTCATCGTCGTCATCAATAGCGTCTACTAACGAGCATGCCTTTGCTACGCCTCCTCTTAACACATTAGCCTCAACATCAACAGCTACCTCAAACTCTAACACAATCGCTAGTTGTGGAACGAATGATGGCGATTCGGAGCTATCGAAAATACTCGATAGTGTTATGGAATATGTTACCGATGATCAGCCTTTTGTGTCAACCGCACATCTTACACAACAACAGATCAACGAACGAGTGGCTATTAGTGCTATACAGAAAAAATTAATGGTCGAGACATCAGCGTTTAGCGCTATTGCTGGAAGTGCAAGTGCTAGTACTGGGAATATTTTAAATTCCGCAGCTCAGCAATTAATACAACAACAACAAATACAAGCGCAAGCGCCACATGCACAATTGCAGCCGCCCGCCTATCCAGGCAATAATATAATGGGTACTATGGCAACGCAACAACAACAAATGCAACAGCAACAGCAGATGCAAATTATGCGAATGCAAATGCTGGAAAGTATGCGAGCCAATGCTAATCAAAATTTTCAAAGACCACCTCCAAATTATCCGGCACGCGGAAGAGCACCACCTATGAACGCTGTAGCAACACCCGGTGGAGGACTCATGCCAGCTTCATCACAACAACGTTATCGTACGTTAGCCCAACAGCAATTAGTAGCTCAACAGAAAGAACGTTTATTGCAACAACAACAAAAACAACATATGTTGGTGCCGGAAAACGCTACCGCACGTAATGATCAATTGTGTAAGCTATTTGGAAGTTTGAGATATATACTTTTGGGAATTTATAACTCATAATTTTAGGTCTCAATCCTGGTCTTAATAACATAGGCACATTACTAAATACTGTGGCTCCCAATGTTACTCTATCACGCACAAATTTACCACCTGACTCTCAACTAAGTCCGAATTTCGCGCAAAGTATGCTGCAACAACAACTAAGCCCAGGGCAACGTAATGCACCGTTTAGTCCACAATCTAATCCGGGTATGTATACCGAAATTTATAAAAAAAAATGAATTGTTAATTCAAAATGTTTACAGCTTATGGTCCCCAATTTTCACAAGCAGGGCAGCGTTTATCACCTCAACAGCAGCAGCAATTATCACAACAAGTTTCTGCTCACCAATCAGCCCAAATGGCTTTTCCAAACAGTAATAGCGGAGCACAGTTATCACCCAGAACGCCACACTTCGGGGCTAGTGCTCCTGGTACACCGGGCAACACGGGAATACCTTCGCCTGGCCTCACTCCTAACGCATCACCTCAACAATGGTCATCAGGTACGGGTCCAAGCGCGACAACTCAAAATAGGCACACTTTGCAACAACACAATCCCATGTTGAGTGCACAGCTGCAGGTAATATGAGTTTTGCAAAACATCGAAATCCAGTTCTATAAGAATAAAAAATTTATAGAGCGCTACTCCATATAATGCCCGGCAGTATCAACAACAACGAGGACGAAGTTTAAATTCCCCCAGTGGTACTCTACCATCGGGAACCAGCGGTTTGCAAGGTCCATCGCCAACTTCATTGCAAAGGCAGAACTCATTTCAAACTAATGACAGCGGTTTTAACAGTGGCACGCCTAACTCTCCTTCACCACAATCACCTTATGGAGCGAGCAGTGTTTTTCAGCAACAACAGCAAAATCAGCAACAATTGCACCGTTTACAGCGTCAAGCGAGTATACCGCAAGTGACACAGCATTTAGCAGGTAAGCAGAACCCTTAAATCAATTGACTTCTGACAGTCAAAATTCTTCTGATAGTCAAACCTTTTAAAAAGAACTTAGCACGAAATTGGTTTGACAAATAACGAATATATATATGAAGCTTTGAAAATTTAAAATTTGCAGCTTCAGAATTATTTCAGTCATAATTGGAGATAATATAAATTTGAAAGCTTCACCAAATTAATAAAAAAAGAAAATATGTTGGTCAATTTCTATATTCAAAAGTCGAAGGCGCGAATGAGCTAGTTACCCTTGTAATAAGCGGCAATAAGCATCGTAGAACATCTCAAATGCACAGAGCAATGTTCTGACTGTATTTAGTCCGCGCACGATTATTTCTTCTAAAATCTTTAAAATCAACAAAATCCATTCTTAAGCCACTTTTTAAATCAGTTGTAAAGATAAAAGCAAATTCACACGTAAATATAAGACTGAAGTAATTTCCAAAAAGGAGGTAAAATATCTCAGTATATTTTGGTCAATAATAAAGCAGATATTGGTTTGAAGTCTGACTAAAAGCTGTACATTTTAAAAATCGTTCGTTTTGTTAATCAGTTTGATTAGATGAGAATTTTTGCAGGTTCAATTGCGTTAGTTTGAGAACTTCTTGTAACTTTATTACATTCCAATCATAAAACCTTTCGAACTGTGAACGAACATTTTTTGACTTATATCTTACTTACTTCCTATACACCAAATGAAAAGGTACTTTCAAATCGAATTTTCGATCTACCACCCACGTAGAATAACATTATTTCAAATCTATTGACTTAAAAATGCTACATTTTTATAAAGAAACTCTATTTTGTTTGCGTGGATGCCCGTATTACCTTAATAGACTTAAGATAAACACGAACGAATCAAAATGATTCTCCAAAGTTGTTTATTTGTGCCTTCAACATGGAGGTCGACAAATTTTGGATTTCCTTCCCTCTAACCTTTTCTGCGAATGGTGTTCATGTGACAGAAGTGTTCAATTTTTAGTATTTTACAATGAAGATTTTTGCGTAATAGCAATTTGACATAAAAGCTATCTGGACCAAATTTCGACCACGTCGGTCTCTTTTTCCCATTTCGTCCCCTGCAAAGGTTTTCATGGAAAATAAACCCTCATAACAACGTCAGTCTTTGTGTAATTGCCTTAGGCGAAGGGATGCAATATATATAATCGACCCCGATCCGCTATATTTTTTCGATGTTAAAAATATAACAGAGTGGAAAAGTTTTATTCGTTTGGGCGTGTCACTTAACCGATTGCATTTTCTTACTGGCTGCAGAGGACGCCTAAAAAAATGTATTGTATGTATTACATCAATATTTTATAGACCAATACTTTAGACCAATGTTTTCTATGAATTATAGGACGCACATTTTTCCTATTCGTACTTGATCAGCCTTTTCCAACTAAGAATTTTTGTATAAACAGCATGCGACAAAAAACAGTTAGACAGGCCATTGTACTTAATCTGCCTCACAGAATCTTATGCTGACGAATGCTTTATAGCTTATCTGATAAGTCTTTCCAGGTATTATAAATAAAGGGAATATCTAGTGCATTCCATCCTTAGGTCGTGCCTATAAAGATGAAAGTTATATCCCAATTAAGAAGATCTTCATAAAAGAGATCGCGATTAGAAAAAAAAATGGAAAAAGAAAAACAAACCTTATAAATACACACCAATCACTATGTAAATTTAACCTCATAGGCTCGCCACGTTCATTTGGTAACTCTGCCACCATGACAAATAGTCATAATAACAACCACAACAATAATCACAATAGCCTTCACAATCACCATCACAGCCATAGCCACAACCACCACCACCACCATCACCACAACAGCAACAACAACAATAACAATCATAATAACGACAGCAGTCATGACAATCCAAATTTGCTTAATGACCTGAGTGGTGGTCCACCAGTAGTAGTGGCAGCCATTAATGGTTTTGGTAGCAATAGTGGCAGTACCAGCAGTTTGATGTTTGGCAATACAATAATGCCACACAATGCCACCGTTGCGGTTTCAGCATCAACATCACACAGTACATCGTCGTCATCACCTAATGAATATTATGGTCGCAACATGCTGGCCGGTAAGCGGAGAGATAATAACATAACATTACGACAGTATGCTCCCAAACAATCCAAAAATAGCTATTACAACACATCAAACACTTGCATCACCAGACTACCGTAAAGTTATTATTATATATGATACAACACAACATTCCATAAAAACGCCTTTTGTATATATAAATGTTCGTAGCTTGATAGAAAATGAATAAAATCTTCCTCTTTCCGTAAATCCTGTCAAATAACGCAGGCACGTAATTACTTATAAAGGTGTTTTGTAGAAATACAAATTTTCTATATAGTAAAATTTGCATAATTTTTCGAATTATTATGTAAATTAAAAGATTACGTTACTACATTGTGTACGGTTATGTATCGGTATGTGTTAAATTTTTATATCTGCTAGAGAGTTTATTACCTTTCTCATTCCATTTCTAATCCCCCGACATGCACTATTATAGAGACCTCATAGACCCTGAGTCGTCTTTTTCATATGCGCCTATTCGTCATCATTTCTTGGAGGCTAGATATTCAAATATTGAAGCCATCCAAAAGTTCTTCAAAGAAATTATTTGCGGCAGTTGCGTGTTCCTCTTTAGCTTCGAGGGGATCTCAAAATTGAATATGCAGGCTAACTATTTTTTAAAACCTTCTCACCATCACGAATGAAATTTGTTGGAAATCGACTATAAAAGAATTTCGATTATAAAAGAATTTAATTTAGGCTTAAAGAAAAGCAAGAAAAAAGAATATTATATTGACACCAAGAAGTAGATTGCCTACGCTACCTGATAGCAAGTTCTATTCATTCGACATGTCGATTATGTATGTTTTATCGTGTATCGTATACATTTTAAGATTTTGCAGCCCTTTGTAGATCACTTTATAAATTAATATGGGAATTTCATGTTTTACATGCAACTCTTCTTTTTGGCAATTTTGTGCGGTGTCTTCATCCGATTTAAATGAATTTTAAACGTAAAACGCGAATTTTATTAAGCAAACATTTTAGAATTTAATTGTTTAATAAATTGGATTTTCGAGATAAAGGCAAATTTAGACTTAAGCTTCTTTGTCCTGAACTTGGAACTTGGACTTCTTAAGCTTAATCCGCCCAGTCTGGTGAATGTGAGCTGGGTCCGAAAGAATTTAAAAAGCGGAATAGCGGATATACTTTTTAAATGATTTTCCATAAAGTGCTTGAAATGTGTTTCATCTTCCTAAAAAATATCATCGACATTTTTATAATTACATTAAACTTTTGATCTCTGCATAAGATCCACATCTTCTTGAGATCTGTAGTTCTTATCTATTGATAGAATTCTTCTATTCTTGTCTGATAGAATTTCTTCCGTTTTTTTAAAATCCCGTTTTCCCAAGCCTAGGATAACTGTGTCCTTAAAATTGACTAAATTCAAAGTTGATCCCAGTTTTTCTCTAATGAAGTTTCCGTCTCAAAAATGAATATCAGATCAAAAATAATTTTTCTAAAATTATCAATAATCTACTGGAAAGCTGCAAGCTTCGGCTCAAGTCGTGTATAATGTTTTTCTTATTTTTATATATTTGTTGTAATATATAATGTATGTGATATATAAATGTTTATTTATGTAAATGTTTTTATAATTTTATCCTCATATTATCCAAACTTTTCTGTTTATGTGTTGTTCTAACATGTTCTACAATGTCAATATATTACTGTTAATGTTGTGTTGGTCTCCTCCCTTACTGTGTTATACCATAATGTAAATAACTTGATCAAATAATTTTCTAACAATTAAAACACTTCATACAATTAAGAAAATTTACATAAAAAATGAATACAATTTTTTATTTCTTTGCTTTTTTAGCTGGTAATCCTGCCAACTCTTCGGACTTTGTTAAACAAGAATTACGTGCTGTAGTTAGTGGTCGTGCTGCTGCGGCTGCTAATGCTGGTGCTGCTGGAATACCGGGTGGTGGAATGGCAATAACAAGTGGTCTGCGTGTAACAACACCGCAAAGTCCGCTTGGTCCACAAACTTCACAGGGACCAACTATGCTTGGTGCAAATAGTACAAATCCGATGGCCATTTCTCAACAACAGCAAACGCAATCTCAGACTCCGAACAATGTGGTTAGTTCTGTAACTGGTGGTAATGCAGGCAATGTCGGGTCGAGTAGTGGCAGTGGCAATTCTCTATTGAGTACCGCTTCAGACCCTACGCTAGGATTTAATTTTGATGCGCGTAAGTTTATCCCAAATGTAAAATGTATTTACGTTTTCATTTTAATGCTTTTTCATCTATTTCACAGAAGATTTTTTTTGCAACAATAACTCCAGGTGACCTTGAATGGAATAATAAACAATGGCAACGGTGTTCTAACCTCAGATGTGTTTGACTACGAAGGAAACTTTTGAAGCTGGAATATTGTCTTTTCTTTCTTAAGTTTAACTTGAAATGAAACTGAAAGTCCTCTTTCTTAATAAGGTGCAATAGTTAAAATTTCCCTTTTTTCATTTTATGCTGCCCAAAACACCTTACATAATAAACAAACACACACTTTCAATAAGCATTTATTTCGTTTAAAGCGGAGAATGTAAGGAAAAATGTTTTAAAATGTTTTAAATTGCATTTTTAAAATCAACTTTAAAGCATAAAGTTGAAAATGTATAGTATGAACCGAGGAAGCAGATCTAGAAAAAGAAGTATACATGTGTGTACATATATAAAAACAATATTAAAAAGAATATAAAAACAGTACTGAAAAGTGAGTCAATATTCAAAGAGTAATTTAAAATTTCATATAAATAAAAAGATTAATAAATTAATTTATTAGTAAAATAAAATAAAAACTTTTAGTTAAGCTAAAGAATATTTTGTAAAAAATTCGGCAAATTTTGTTTTTGCGTATTTGCTTATACATATTGTATCTAAAGTGAAATAATCTTCTCTAGTAACGATTACACTATTATATTTATTTATAGCTAAAACTTATGGATACGTTTACGTGTATATATATATCAAAGAGAAATGCTTAAGTAATCATACGTATGATTTCCGTCAATGTCTAATCTAACTTTAACTTCCATTAGTTCTCCTTTTTTTTCTTTCCATTTGTTCTATTTTATGAATTTAATGTTTAGAAAACGCAAAGAAAATTGTTAAATACTGATTATATAAAAAAAAAAAAACAGAAAACATAAGTAAATTTTTAACACATACATGTCAGGTTTAAATTTGTAAAAACAAGAAAACACAATTTTCCTAATTCATAAGTTATTATTAACACATAATTATTTAACAAAATAAAATGGATTTATTAATAGTTAATTACTGTATACCAAATCAAGAAAAACGAAAGAGAAAAGAAAAAGCATTATTACTAGAAAAAAACTCCTTAAAAAAATATTTGCTTTAAAAGAAAATGTTAAATTTTTTAATCGCTTTTCTTGTTCTTGTTTTCTTGAAATATTTTTTAGATTAATTCTCCAATATTGTTGTTATGTTAAAAAAAAATCTTGTATAGTGAACAAAATTATTTGTTTTTCTTTTTTTTCATATTTTTCCAACAAGCTTAGCTTATATATGTTTTTCATTACTTTTTTTTCTTTTTTAAACATATGCGTTTGCCTATTATCTAGTTAATCTGTTTATTTGTGCATACTAAAATGTTTTTCATCTAAATATGCAATATGTATATATATATATATACATATGTATATATATATATAATATTTTTTATTTATGTTAAGTTGGGTGTTTTTTTAATGGTAATTATTGTACTCTGTTAAATTATAGCGAAATTTAAAATTTTTATTTTACTTAAATTTTTTTATTTGTTAATAAAGTTTGAAAAATTCTAATTTTTATTAAAAAAAAACACATATATATTTCAAACGTTTTGTTTTCTTTTTGATTTAATTTTAGTACAGAGAATAAACAGATTGTAAATCGTATTCGCCTTAAGGCGATTCACTTTATATAATTTATTGTCACCAAATATTATTGGCTTAGGCCGTCTACAAAAATACGTTACAATGCCTTTTTGTGTTCTCGACAGGTATGGTAGATTTTTCCGGTTAAATGTATTTAAATTTCGTTTTTTTTTATCCTTGTGGCGAATTGATAGAAATTTATGCAAATTTCCGGATTTTGTTGGATTGTGGCGCATCGATAAAAATATATCGAAATTTGAGGACCTCTCGCTATCTATGGCATTGCATTCATGTTCAAAAGTTTACTTGCGTTGTGCAATCAAGCAATCATGTTCTTGATATTTTCGAGCGTAAGAGCTCAAACAAATGGACTGGGTGTACTCTGTGTTTATCAAACCTACATGTGTGTAAATAATGCTTTTTGCATTTGGTTTAATATACTTTTATTTCGTTTCAGCCTTATTCATTAATAAATATTTATTAAGCTTTTCTTAAATGTTATGGCATAAAAGTGCTGTTCGTGACCAGACTTACTCGATTTAAAGTCTAGTGGAATTTTTACTATAAAGGCGTATGCACGAGTAGCAGAGCGACCCGTCAAGCATCTATAGTGATTTTTACAAGAAGAGTTAGAAATGGTTATATTTCTGATTAAAAATATGAAGGCACATGTGTGGTTTAAGTTGTTTATATTTGGTATAAATCCTTTTGCGTTGGCGGGTGAAAAAGAAGGAATAGTTTACATATTACATAATTTTGATATTCACTGAACGCATGTTTTTCTAACAAGTATATTTCTAAGTCAAAGGAAACCCTTTTTGACTCAAAATATGTAAGAGCTACGAAAGCAGAACGTACTAATCGCTAATGTAACAATTCTAAAGTACGACTTTAACATGAGTTAGGCCAGTAATTTTTACTCGTGGAAATCGCATAAAAAACTAACGTTTTAAAAGTAATAGAGAAATATTTTTGATAAGCCTGGAAGGAATTTAACGTGAAAACGGTTGCCTTTGGTCAATGAATACATCCATGATTTTTTCCATGCATAATTCTCGTTACTGAAGAATGAATACTGACTATTTAATTTCGTGCGTGAGATCTGTGTGAGGTCAGTTTTTCACTTGAATTTGATTTACAGTTCGTTTTTTAAATTAATAAACATTCTCAGCCATTCTTAGATTCATTTAATATTTAACAGCTAGTATTCACGCTGACACTCTTTAACTCGTTCGCTACATACCCTCATACATTCACGAAACCCAGCCGTTTTTTACCACAACCTGACGTCGTATGTATGATAGCCGCAATTAAAGCATGCTTAAGCACTCTAAATATGCTTACGTATGTACACGAAAAAATCTTGGGCTTTGACGGAAGTTTCCCCCAGAAGATTCGGATAGGGTAGATTGCTCAATCCAGCAGCTCTATTCGTTGATTTGCCATAGTGATAGAAATTTTTTTTTTCTTTTATCTGGACTTGGATTGATGAGCAGTTCGCTACGTAATCAGGATCTTATTCTGCAGGCTGCTTTTGGCACAGCGTAGTCTTCACTCTCTATGCCTTAACCAGATTTGAATTTGATATGTTTTACTGTAAGTCTAACAATAGAAAACTTATATCGACATAAAGTAAGAGAAGATGACAAGAACTAAGATAAGTTCACACACATGTCCACTTTGAACATATAGCACACAGATTTTGGTTACTATCGGTTAAGAGCTCGCCCAAAGACAAACATAGTTTTTTTACTTGTATTAATTACACAAATTTAATCATGTAAAAAATTGTTTTTAATTAAACCGTTTCAATTATTTCTTCTTAGTACATCTACAATTGGCTTTCAACAAAAAGTAATTGAAAAACAATTTTTATAACGTAGTATTAAAAAAAAAGAAAATGCAATTTTAGGTTACAATTCAAAATCAACGATGCGGAGGCGCAGAAAATTTTTTTGTCTGTTGGTGTTTTTCTCGTCAGAGAAATTCGATAAAGGTAAAAATTTTGCTTGAAATTTGTTTTCGTTTATGAATAATTGAACGAAAGTTACCGAATTTTTCGTAAAGCAAAGCGACTGCTTTAATCTTAAGCATATTTTGGAAAATTTCGAAAGTTTATAACTTTTTGGGAATATTGTTTCATTTTTGTCCAAGGAAGTAAGTATTTATGATTTTTATTGTAAAAGTTTACCTAAAATAACATAGAAGTCCAGCTAGAAATGAACAGGAGGCATTCACTTTAAAATTGAAGCACGAAGAAATTCTAGTTCCCCCTGATTGTCGCAGATCGCTTGTTTGTGCACGCCAGGTGTCTTCCTATGAGTTTCTGGCATTGCTCGCAGGCGATGCTATAATGAAAAGAAGAGAGTCAGTCAGAGACGGAAATTATACTTGGCCGAAGAAAAATTCGACCACGATACGATTTTCATTTCGGCCGCGCGGTCGTTTGCATTAATTTCGCTTTCTTTCGTTTTAAATATTTCTTACAATCGTTTTAAAAGGTATCAACAGACTCTTTCTCCTTGTTCTCTGTTCTGTTATCATCTATCATCAACCAATTTCATAGCGAATTTTCCGTTGCTTAAGTTTATTGTTCACTTGTTGTGTGGCCTGCCATCATAACCCAAGGTTACTAAAATAAGAGTGAAATATATTCACTTAAACGCATTGAGGCATGTACACATGATTTGTCTTCAATGTAATGTTCAGGGGCCAATCATCCCTGGCCCGCAAGTGAAGCGAAATTAACTCCACGTTGTGGGATTAAGCCTCTATAGCAACAATATATGTTACATCTCTAGATTTATCATCTGCGAGGGTTAGCAAAACTTTCTTCAATATTAGTGTTTTCACGAAATCAGCTGGTGCAACTTAGTATTATCGAAGTGAAGTGTCCAAATTTCTATCTGCTAGAAGAACTTTCGAATAGTTACCAAAAAGCGAACTAACTTTACCGCCAGATCGAGTGAAGGTGAATAAAATCGAAAAGTTTCATATATCAGGTAAATGATGGCATTTCTGTATAAAGAAAAATTATCCTAATTTCACTTAATATTTTTTCTGCTAACGCAAAAGAAAAACGTTTAATAAAATTCAGTTTTTTTTTAATATTAAACTTATTACTCATTTTCAAGAACTATTAGATAAAAAGCCAGTACGTAAACAACCAATAAAGTGTTAAAATCGATATTAATACTTAAGAAAATAGGAATACCTCTCTTTAAGTTCAAATTATAAATAAATGAAAAGATTATAAGTTTAAGACAAGACACACCCTCATTAGCGTTTAAAATTATTGAAAAAAATTGTTGCAAATCGAATAACATGTGAAGGAAAATTTTTAAAAAAATATTATAATAATAATTATAATAGTAGTAATAAAGAAAATAATCAATTATAAATAAGTAATTAAATAGATCATAACAAGTGAATAATAACAGTAAAAACAAAGTGTTACCCAAAATATTTATTGCCGTTTTTGAAACGTAAGGATTGGAAAGTATATTTTATTTTGTCATGTGCGTATCCAACAGTCTGGCGTTGTTGAATAAAAGAATCTTTTATAAAATTAACGTTAAACATTCCCGTATGCTTTCCAGACGTTCAATGAAATGTCCAAACGACAACGTTCGGTCTTGC